AGTAAAATGATAAAAAAATAAATCAAAATAAATTAAGTAATAATAAAAAGGAAGGGAATAATAAATTGAATATATATAAATAAATAAACAAATATAATGAATTAATAATTAAGAAGAAATAACGACAAATAATAATAAAAATACTAATAAAGTAAAGATAAAGAAAAATAAAAAATAACTAAAAATTCAAAATAATAATAACTAGAAAGAATAAAAATTAAAGAATAAATAAAAAAATACAAATAAATCAAACGAAAAAAAGAAAAGAAAAAATAATAATAAAAGTAAAGATAAAATATAAAGAATAAATAAAATAAAAATTAATAAAAATAATAATAAAATAAAACATTAAATCAAACAAAAATAATAATAAAGATAAAAAAATAAAGAAAAACAAAGAATAAATAAAAGTACAAATTAATAAAAATTATAATAAAAATGTTTAAAAATAAAGAAAAAGATAAATAAAAACAAAGAATAAAATAAAAAAATAATAAAATTAAGATAAATAAAAATAAATAAAAATAAAAATAAATAAAAATAAAAATATGAAAAATAAAAGATAAATAAAATAAAGAATAAAAATAAACAAAAAATAATAATAAAAGTAAAGATAAATAAAAATAAATAAATTAAAATATTAAAAAATAAAGATAAATAAAATAAAGAATAAAAATAAACAAAAATAATAATAAAAGTAAAGATAAAGAAAAAAAATAAAGAATAAAGAAAAAGAAAAATAAAGACAAATAAAGAATAAATTAAAATTAAAATAAAGAATAAATAAAAATAAATAAAATAATAATATAATATATTAATTGTGGGTGGGTGTGGGTACAAAATGTTGGATTGTAGTTCTAGTTTGAATTTGGGGTTAAAAAAAAGAGGAAATGAAGACAATGTGTAGTGGCTTTCTATATTTCACCTGTCTGTGCAATAAAGTATATATATCATCCATTAAAGTGCTCCGAGTGTAAAACAATCTTAATGTTTTTCAAATTTCACATTCTAATAAAACTAGAACTTGACAGAGAAATCATTTAAGTAAGAAACCTTACCTGTAACTCGCACCATGCCACCTCCACTGTAGTCTCGGTGTCCAGTCCCTTGTAGACCGTCTTAAAAGACCCCCTCCCGATTTCAATATTAAACTTCAGATATCGTCCATCAGGTGATGTAGCCACAGCTTTGGTCTCGATGTCCTCTTTCTCATCCTGCTCCAGCCTGCTTAAAAACTGCCGCCGTCGGACTGCGTTCTCCCCTTTTGTTCCCTCATTATCCGAATCAGAACTAGCATCCTGAGGAGACCGAGGCTGCTGGACGGGGCTTCTCCAGTCCTCCGGAGCTGCTGAATCCGCATTGGGTGTTACAGACTCCGGGCTGGACACTGGAGATGGAGACATTGGAGGCGAAGGGTCTGTTTTGGAGTCTGCAGACAGCAGTATGTTTTCTGCAGACCACGATAAACCTTTGGAGAGCGTCTCATTGTATATCTGAGGGTCGAGTTTATGGAGCACGTATGAGTTTCTCCTTGCGCTTAAGGAGTGTGTGCGCAGCATTGGCACTCTGGAGAGACAGTCGTCCTCTAATTCAACAGGTAAAGCTGGGAAAGCGCGTCCGGCGAACTCTACTTCAGCATGAGACATGATGGAGACGGTTCAAATCATCTCAATACTGACTAGAAGAAAGGAAACAAAGAAAAATCACATGTTAAAAAGTCTTGGTATTAATAGAATACCTAACATGTGATTATCTTAAATTTTATTAGATTTTAAGTGTTTAAACTGTTATTTAACAGTATTTTAGGGCTGCACTGTGATCCTTAAAGCAACAGTTCACCCATTCATGTCTGTTTTAAAGTGATTATCTTACATTTTATTAGATTTTAAGTCAATAAAAACTATTAATAAGTGTTTTAATGCTGCATGTCTGCACTATCATGTCTGTTTTCAAGGGATTATCTTACATTTAATTCGATATTAAGTGATTGAAAACTATTATTGAGTATTTTAGGGTGGCATGGTGATCCTTAAAGCGATAGTTCGCCCATTCATGTCTGTTTTCAAGTGAATATCTTAAATGTTATTAGATTTTAAGTGACTCAAAACTATTAATGAGTATTTTAGGGCTGCACTGTGATCCTTATAGCGATGTTCACCCATTTGTGTCTGTTTTTAAGTCATTATCTTACATTTTATTAGATTTTAAGTCAATAAAAACTATTAATGAGTGTTTAAGTGCTGCATGTCTGCACTATCAAGTCTGTTTTCAAGTGATTATCTTAAATTTTATTAGATTTTAAGTGATTGGAAACTATTATTGAGTATTTTAGGGTGGCATGGGGATCCTTAAAGTAGTAGTTCGCCCATTCATGTCTGTTTTCAAGTGATTATCTTACATTTTATTAGATTTTAAGTAGTTAAAACTTCTACTAATGAGTATTTTAGGACTGCACTGTGATCATTAAAGCAACCGTTCACCCATTAATGTCTGTTTTCAAGTGATTATCTTAAATGACTAAAATAAAAATTAAACACTTATTACGACATTTAAATTCTGATATAAAATAATCAGTGTTTATCTTAAATTATATTAGATTTAAAGTTGTTAAAACTTCTAGTAATGAGTATTTTAGGGCTGCACTGTGATCCTTAAAGCAACAGTTCACCCATTCATGTCTGTTTTCAAGTGATTATCTTACATTTTATTAGATTTTAAGTCAATAAAAACTATTAATGAGTGTTTTAGTGCTGCATGTCTGCACTATCAAGTCTGTTTTCAAGTGATTATCTTAAATTTTATTAGATTTTAAGTAGTTAAAACTTCTGTTAATGAGTATTTTAGGGTTGCACTGTGATCCTTTAAGCAACAGTTCACCCATTCATGTCTGTTTTCAAGTGATTATCTTAAATGATTAAAATAAAAATGAAACATACTTATTACGACATTTAAATTCTGACATAAAATATTAAGTGATTATCTTAAATTTTATTACATTTTAAGTGATTCAAAACTATTAAGGAGTATTTTAGGACTGCACTGTAATCCTTATAGCGATGTTCACCCATTCGGTCTGTTTTTAAATGATTATCTTACATTTTATTTGATTTTAAGTCAATAAAAACTATTAATGAGTGTTTTAGTGCTGCACTATGATGTCTGTTTTCAAGTCTGTTTTCAAGCGATTATCTGACATTTAAAGATTAAGTGGTTAAAGATAAAGATTTTAAGTGGTTAAAATTTCTAGTAATGAGTATTTTAAGGCTGCACTTTGATCCTTAAAGCAATAGTTCACCCATTCATGTCTGTTTTCTAATGACCATCTTAAATGTATAACATTTTAAGTGATTAAATGTCTGTTTTCATGTAAAACAAAACAAAAAAAAGGTAAAATCATTCAAGCAGAATATATACTTTTATAATTGAAATATTCCTATTCTGACATTTATATTCTCGACATAAATAAGCAACTATCTTAAATGGTACTAATTTTTAGTGATTAAATCTTCTACTAAGGAGTATTTTAGGGCTGCATTGTGATTCTTAAAGCGATGGTTCGCCCATTCATGTCTGTTTTCAAGTTAATATCTTGCATTTTATTAGATTTTCAGTGGTTAAAACTTCTATTATTGAGTATTTTAGGGCTGCACTGTGATCCTTAAAGCAACAGTTCACCCATTCATGTCTGTTTTCAAGTGATCATCTTAAATCTACAACATTTTAGGTGATTAAATGTCTGTTTTCATGTAAAAAAATGCAAAAAAGGTCAAATCATTCAAGCAGAATATATACTTTTAAAATTGAAACACTTATTCTTGACCTTCATAGTCTTTACATAAATAATAAGAGACTACCCTAAATGGTACTACATTTTAAGTGATTAAAAACTTCTATTAAGGAGTATTTTAGGGCTGTACTGTGATCCTTAAAACGACAGTTCACTCATTCATGTCTGTCTTTAAGTGAATATCTTAAATTTCATAACATTTTAAGTGATTAAAACCTCTATTTACGAGTAGTTTAGGGCTGCACTGTGATCCTTAAAGTGATAATTCACCCATTCATGTCTATTTTCAAGTAAAAAAAAAATTTAAAAAGCTAAATCATTTAAGCAGGATGAATTATTTTAAAAATGAAACATACTTATTCTGACCTTTATATTCTTGTCATAAATAATAAGTGATTATCTTAACTGGTACTACATTTTAAGTGATCAAAATATTCTATTAAGGAGTATTTCAGGGCTACACTGTGATCCTTAAAGTGACAGTTCACCTTAAAGTGAAAACTTAAAAACAATTACTTAACTCACTAAATTATGACATAAGGGTACTAAATTAAATTCATGGTGTACTCAATCGAAATTATGTCTTTAAAATTAATAAATTATGACTTTAAAAGTCAATATTATGAGAAAATATTTATGGAAAAGTCTATTACCGTTTTTCAACTTTCTTCAAAATATCTTCTTCAGCATACAAGAGAAAAGAGAAACCACTTGAGGGTGATTCAAAAAGTAGTAATTTCTCATTTTTGGGTGAACTATCCCTTTATATGAGTCCAGTTGAATCGCTTAAAACCTCCTCATTTGGCTAAACGCGTCTGCTAAATGACAACATGTAAAGTTCAATGGTAAGCGTAAAGCATCTGTAACGTTACGCACTTTCTCGCGTCTTTTTTATCCACAAAGCAAAACTTTACGTGAAAATAGAAGTTTAGCTGCCAACTAAAATACAGTATACATCTTTTTAAATCTATACATAGAGTAGAAATGTAGATATACCTTATTTTGTGAAGTAAATGTGCTCCCGCGCTGGAGCTGCACATGTCCCTGGCTCCTGCTGAGTGTTTCTGCAGAGCGCGCGTGCACGTCGGCTCTCCAGCACAGTGGGTTATTTGACTCCTCCTTCACCTGAGTCCCGCGGGGTTGAGTTTCACTGAGTACATCTGCATCTCTCTGTCCCGTCACATCACAACGGCTTGTGGTTTGAGAATGTTATGTTGTGACAATCTATTTTATGAGGATCTGTGAGATTTTCCGCTTGCCGTGTCCGTCAACGAGTCGTTCGATTCGAGTCGGAACCTTTTAATGATTCACTTGAACCGGATCGTTGGTCCGAGAAATTCGCTTGTCAACAGCTATAATTGTAATTAGTTAAAAATGCAATTAGTATGGAATGAATGCCAGCATGCAATGTAAATGTTATTAGATTTTAGGTGGTTAAAACCTCTGTTAATGAGTATTTTAGGGCTGCACTGTGATCCTCAAAGTGATCATTCACCCATTCATGTCTGTTTTCAAGTGTTAATCTTACATTTTATTAGATTTTAAGTGGTTAAAACTTCTATTTTTGAGTATTTTAGAGTTGCACTGTGATCATCATAGCAATAGTTCAACCATTCATGTCTGTTTTCAAGTGATTAACTTGATTTGTATTAGATTTTAAGTGAATAAAACTTCTATTATTGAGTATTTTAGGGTGGCATTGGGATCCTTATAGTAATAGATCACCCATTCATGTCTGTTTTCAAGTGATTATCTTACATTTTATTAGATTTTAAGTGGTTAAAACTTCTATTATTGAGTATTTTAGAGTTGCACTGTGATCATTATAGCAATAGTTCAACCATTCATGTCTGTTTTCAAGTGATTAACTTGATTTGTATTAGATTTTAAGTGAATAAAACTTCTATTATTGAGTATTTTAGGGTTGCATGGGGATCCTTATAGTAATAGATCACCCATTCATGTCTGTTTTCAAGTGATTATCTTACATTTTATTAGATTTTAAGTGGTTAAAACTTCTATTATTGAGTATTTTAGGGCTGCACAGTGATCATTAAAGCGACAGCTCACCCATTCATGTCTGTTTTTTGGTCATTCATTTTATTTTGATTTATTATGATTCTTTTTGGAATAATTATATGGCTTTTTATCCATTTAATGTTGGGCATTTATTAGTCTGCGAAAGATTTTAGTGGAATTTTAGTAAAGTTTGGCCTAAATTGTTATGTCTTGGAAATGCAAATAAAAAAAGAAAAAGAAAGAAAGAAAAAGAAGTATTAAGGGATCAAATATAAAGACAAAACAAAATCAAAGTCATAATCATACCTTATGACTTAACTCACCAGAAATTAGTCAATATCTTAAATTTTATTAGATTTTAAGTGGTCAAAACTTCTATTAATGAGTATTTAGGGCTGCACTGTGATCATTAAAGCGACAGTTCACCCATTCATGTGTGTTTTTTGGTCAATTATTAAATTTGATTTATTGTGATTCTTTTTGGAATAACTATATGGCTTTTATTTATTTAATGTTATAGTAAAGTTTGGCCTAAATTGTTATGTTTTGAAAATGCAAACGTAAAAAAGAAAGAAAAGAAAAACAAGTATGAAGAAGAAGAAAAAAATCAAGCATAAAAAAATGTAAATATTACATAGTTAAGTCATAAGCATTCCTTAAAAAATGATGACTTAACTTCCTCGAAATTATGATAAAGTACTAAATTGAATTCATGATGTACTTAATAGAAATTACGTCTATACAAATAATAAATTATGAGATTTAAAGTCAATATTAAGATTAAAAAGTTGAAATTGTAACAGACTCAAAGATAAAACTTGGACATGAACTAGTTTAGTCGACTTTAAAAGCTTAAATGATCATTTACTAACTTGAAATTATGAAATATAGGGCACTAAATTGAAATAATGATTTAATATGAGCTGTTGCCTTAATTTTCTATAAGTTTATTCAGCTTATTAATGCCAATTCTGACACAGTCATCACATTAAGCTTAAATATTTTTTCTTTTTATCTAAGGTGTTTAATAACAACTGAAATTTCATTTATTCATTTTTATGTATTTATGTATCTCTTATTTTGTTTATTGTTTCAGTACTTTAAAAAAACAAGTCAAACTCCACATGCCAAATGGCCCAGCCAGGAGTTGAACCAGCGACCTTCTTGCTGTGAAGCGACAGCACTACCCATTGCGCCACTGCGATGCCCAATTATTATTTTAGATAATGAAAAAATAAATAAACTTAAGCTTTTCATAAGAAAATAAATTATGAATTCCAAATGTTTATGAACAATTAAGCAGCATTTTATTTATACGTGTAAATTTTATGAAGTATTTTATTTTTTACATTTTAATATGATTTAATACTTTATCAGTTTTTATTTCAAGTTTAGCTTTTGTTATTTTAGTTAAACAATTGTATTATTTATATTTCAAGCTAAACAAGAATGAGAATTATTTCCTTTTTTAACTATAAAACACATTGAAGTTATGTGTACAGTTTAATAATATTAGCTTAAAAGGATTGAACTCTGCACTTTTTTAGCCAAGTTACCAGATGCATTTGTATTATTAAATAATATAAAAAGCATGAGATTTTGACCAGTCTGATGCCTCCTGAGAACAACAACAACAATCAAGAAATCAGACTTAAGTGAAATTATTAAATTATTATGGAAGCTGTCCTTGACTCTCATAGCATAATTTTGTTTTAAATACACTCACAGGAAATCTAATAATCTTCACAAACAAGCTTAAAGCCATGTCCGAATCCCCCTGGAGTCTGATGGGGCTATTTTAGACTTTTCTCATGTTGGATTCACATCATAATTTTAGACTATAAAGAATTTATCCGTTCATGATGCCCCCAAATAATAATACAAATATATTTAAATAATTTGTGCTTGCCCTGTTGGGAATATGTTGAATGTTTTTATCTGAATAAATAGAAAGTCTTGAATTTGCCTTGTTTTTTGAGACACTGTGGCTGTCCGGTGAACTCACATTGCCGTTTTCTTAATCTTTGATTAAAAGAAAAAATGATTTATTTAATTATTAATTCATAGGTTTTATTATTCTCATTCAATTATGAATTAATTAATCATTTAGCAGTGATGTACTCTTTACAAATATACAGATTTCATCCGTCCAAAGAGTTGAGCGACTTTTCAATCTGGCTGCAGATGCAAGCTGAGCGTTTTCAATGCGCACACCAAAAGCCCTCTTCTCACACTGATGTCACTAGCTCCAACTGAGTGCATTGTGTCTAAGACTGCGCGTCTCAGCTTACATGTGCACACAAGTCTGCAGTCAGATACTATTTTTTAACACTATTTTGTATTCTGAAGCTCAGCAGAGGGCGCTGTCACGTGTCTTTATTGACATGCGCATGAGCGACATCTGTCTGTCACAAACGCCAACACACCGTCCTAGACTTTAGCAAATATAAACTACACAAAATAAATATGAAACAGACAATATTATAGTACATCTTCATTTTAAAGATTTTTAAAGATCAAATAGCCACTTTTGTATTTGTAAAAACGTTTTTACAATAAAAAACAATTTACTTTAAATTTAAATAAACATTTTTAAGGAGGATTTTCTAACATAAGGTATACATTTGTTTTGTTTAAAAACCTATAGATATTTCTGTAGACAACTGAAAGACAGACTGAAAGGCATCATGATAAATTAGAAAGTAAATTAAACATTTGACACTACATATGAAGCTCTAAATCTGAAAACATTGGATGCATTTGTGAACTCTTTACATTAAAAGCAAATGTTTAAGATTAAATAATAATAATAGTTAAATGTTAAAATAAATTAGATGATAGATAGATAGATAGATAGATAGATAGATAGATAGATAGATAGATAGATAGATAGATAGATAGATAGATAGATAGATAGAGGAAAAGGGGCGGGATTAAACAAGATTATTAGACATTAAAAAAAAGCGAGCGATTGCTCCATGTTTTATATTTCTGTCCAGAGAGGTCATGTTTTGATCCTCAATTGGTCTCACGCAGTCAAGTGATACGATTTCGCAGGTCAGAGTTCACCAAGCTTGAACTTTGCAGGAAAAGCCCAGTGTGACCGCAGCTTTACTAGGCTTTAGAAATCCCTGCAGGTGTGTTAAATAGTTTGGAAAGACTTGAGGGTGAGTAAATGATGTCTGAATATTCACTTTGGGGTGAACTATCCCTCAAGTCTCTCCAAACTGTTTTATTCCTCTGTTAAACCAAAAGAAGATGTTTTGAAAAACGTTTGAAACCGGTAACCATTGACTTCCATAGTATTTTTTTTCACTATTTGCGCACTCTCAAATGATTTTAAAATGTCTTTTTTTTCCTCTTTAACACAAAAATAGATATTTTGAAGAATGCCGAAAACCGGTAACCATTGACTTCCATAGTATTTGTTTTTCATACTATGGAAGTCAATGGTTACCGTATTCCAGTTTAAATTTTTTTCTTTAGTGTTTAACCGAATAATATGTTAGAACCCTGTAACCATTGACTTCCATATTAGCAAAAACAAATACTATGAGAAAGGGAGAGAGAGAGAGAGAGAGAGAGAGAGAGAGAGAGAGAGACAGAGACAGACAGACATAGAGATAGAGATATGGATGGATGGATGGGCAGACCGATGGATGGATGGATGGATGGATGGATGGATGGATGGATGGATGGATCCACTATTTCTAATCCTCAATGTAAAAATACAGCAATGATGTAGGAATTACATTCCAGTTTGGGTTTAAATCAAAAAGTGGTTAAAATTATTAAAAAAGCATGTGAAATAATTTGAATTGTGTGTAATTATGTTCTGTATAGATTGTAAGTTGACATGATAACATTTAGATTTGTTTCTATAGACATTTCAGATAAATCTCCGAGCTGGAATTATAGTAATTTAATAATTCTTGACTTTCAGCATGAAGTCATGAAGCTGAAAACATTCGGCATGCAATAATTCAATTCATTCTCATCAGATCTGCACATGAAAATCAGTATGCTGTGCAAACACTCGCATACACAATTGGATGGTGGTTGCAAGAGAGAACCAAAAAATGTCTCCCTCATTTATTTATACAGTATTACATCGGTATAAAAGGGTGGTAAGATACAGTGATAGCTGAGGAAAAGGAGTGGATGCTACCAGAATTCAGCGAGATCCGTCATAAACAACACACTTACTGAAGAACATCTCCTCTTTGCCAGGAAGCGTCGCGGGATTCACAAACAGCCGTGTTTTTTTGGCTTTGTGGTTATACACAAATCTTCAAGTCGAACAAGAGACCTTCAGGATTGACAGCGATAAATGGACTGGAATAAAAACATATGTACAGGAAAAAGATAGAATATAAACATACTGATACTCCTTAGGTTTGGTCTGATGTTTCGCTTTGCATGCAAATTGGCTGAAGGGATAGTTCACTCAAAAATGAACATTTACTCAGTATTTACTCTCCCTCAAGCATTTCCAAATCTTTATCAGACTTTTAGAACACTAAAAGAGGATGTTTTGAAGAAAGCTAATAACCATTGACTTCCATAGTAGGAAGAAAAATACTATGGAAGTCAATGGTTACCGGTTTCAAACATTTCTCAAAACATCTTTTAGTTTAACAGAGGGATAAAATAGTTTGGAAAGAGGGTGAGTAAATGATGTCTGAATATTCATTTTAGGGTGAACTATTCCTAAAGTCTTTCCCAACTCTTTTATTCCTCTGTTAAACCAAAAGAAGATGTTTTGAAAAATGTTTAAAACCGGTAACCATTGACTTCCATAGTATTTTTTTTCACTATTTACGCTCTCTCAAATGGTTTTTAAATTGTCTTTTTTTCTCTTGAACACAAAAAAGATATTTTGAAGAATGCTGAAAACCGGTAACCATTGCCTTCCATAGTATTTGTTTTTCCTACCATGGAAGTTAATGGGTACTGGATTCCAGTTGAAATTTCTTCTTTAGTGTTTAACCGAATAATATGTTAGAAACCTGTAACTATCGACTTCCATCGTAGCAAAAACAAATACTATGGAAGTCAATGGTTACCGGTTTTAAACATTTTTCAAAACATCTTCTTTTGGTTTAACAGAGGACTAAAATAGTTTGGAAAGACTTGAGGGTGAGTAAATGATGTCTGAATATTCATTTTGGGGCGAACTATCCCTTTAAGAACAAAATCATGATTTTAGTCGACTCAAAAACCAGGTGTAAAACCACCAATCTAATCCTTTTCCAACAAGGAAGACCCTTAAAGGGATAGTTCACCCCAAACATAAAAAATATTCACCATTTAAGCATTGTCAAATGGTTTTAAAATGTCTTTTTTCCTCTTGAACACAAAAGAAGATAATTTGAAGAATGTTGAAAACCGGTAACCATTGACTTCTATAGTATTTGTTTTTCCTACTATAGAAGTCAATGGTTACCGGACTTCAGCTAAACTATCGGTTTTAGTGTTTAACCGAATAATATGTTAGAAACCTCTTAACCATTGATCTCAATAGTAGCATAAACAAATACTATGGAGGTCAATGGTTACAGGTTTCCAACGTTTTTCAGAATATTCTCTTTAGTGTTTAACAGAATAAAGAAACTTAAAATGGTTTGGAACAAGAAAAAGGTAAATGATGACAGAATTATCTGTTTTGGGGGAATTATCCCTTTAAAATTTAGTTTGTGCCAAATAATGACAGATTTAATAGTGGAGTGTAACATATCGAGTCCTGAAAGCATCCGAATGAACTCGTGACAGAACCCAGTCGCAAATCCCAAAGTCTGACTTGAGAAATTCGTATTCAAAAGAATTTGACTCCTTTTCCGTCATCCACAGTGATGATTTCTGCCTTCCCGTCAGTCTGCAGGGCCTGTAGTGAACGCAGCAACATCCAATCCTCTAGCCCGTGAAACTCTGAAAGACACACTTGCTGTTATTTGCCAGTTTATTAGGTACACCTGATCAACTTCTTGTTAAAGTGATAGTTCACCCAAAACTAAATTCTGTCACGATTTAGTCATCCTTTACTCTTTTCAAACTTTCATTAGTATTTTTTTTCTGCTGAACACAAATAAAGATATTTTGAAAATTGTTGGTCACCTGTAACCATTGACTTCCATAGTATTTGCTGTGGCTAAGTCAATGGTTACAGGTTTCCAACATTTTTCAAAATATCTTCTTTTAGTGTTTAACAGAAAAAAAGGTCACATAGAGGTTTAGAACCATTAGAGGAAGAGTAAATAGTGAGTAATTTTTCAATTTTGGGTGAAATAACCCTTAAACACAAATGTTCTGCAAGCAATTAAAGGGATAGTTCACCCCAAAACTTCAATTCTGTCACCATTAACTCACACTTTGCTCAAATCCAATAAAGTGGTTTAGAACCACTTGTACATTTTAATTTTTGGGTACATTTTCATTTTTGGGTGAACTATCCCTTTCACTGATGTAAAATATGAGGGATGTTTTCTTACCACATTTCCTATAGTTTTCTTCTGTTAATGCAAAGAAACATACGTTACAATTGAATGAAATAGTTGTCTACCTTCTTTTTCCGTGTCGTCTCCATTAGCGAGTTCATAAAGTGTAAACACAGAGTTGACCATCCCGTTCTTGGAAACCTACAAAGAAAATACAATGGAATAAAACAACTGACAGCATGCAGTTTTTCCATTATGGC